ACGCGAGACCAGTTGGCAGAAATCCACGGAAGTCTCGAAGCCGGTGCTCATGCATTCAACATAGTCTGCGTGGCCAGGCATCACGCGTTTCATCACGCCCTTGGCTCGCTGCTTGCTGAGCTTGCCCTTCAGCACGTCTGAGAAGAGGACCGAGTAGAGTTTCGCCCGAAGCCCCACTTGCTCGACGATCCTCACGGGCGAATATTCCACGCCAAACCCCCCGAGTTCGCCTGCTCTGGCCCAGGCCATCTTCTGCTGCTTTTGCGTGAGGTGCTCCAAGACCCAGCGCACATCTTTCTTGCCAACGAGATCCTTTGCCAAGTCAAAGAAGCAAGGGAATCCGCTTTGCTCGTTGGCCCGGGCCATGGCGCGAAGGGGATCCTCTGGCGTCTCGATGAAGTAGGTCGCGGAGTCTGTGTCTGTCGACAAGGGAACGGCCTGCGGAAAAAGCTTCTTGATGCCAGATAATGATTCTTCATCATCATCAGCCTGGGCAGCTCCAGCACGCGGTAACCGGTCTGCACCAAGCTCTTCTGAAGAAGTGCTTTCCCGTAGTTCTGCACGACGCCCAGAAAGTCCTCGTCCGAGCCAAAGACGTCCATGTCCTGCGTGCGGTAGCCGTTCGCTGCCCTCACGAACTTAGCCGTGTCGGTGTAGACCTGGGAGCAGCGACAGTGCTCGCAGCGTTGGATGAGCTTACCATACATGGCATTCATCACGAGCTTGAGCATCTCGGCCTCCACGGAGCGCCCCTGCCTTTTGAGCTCCATCCTCTCTGCGTAGCACCGCCTGATCCAAGTGGCAAGAAAGGGAGCGCACTTGAACTTGATGATGCGGTGCACCTTGTCGACGCGCGCGCCCATCACCTCCACCATGAAGGCCAATCGCTTAGCATCCACACCCTCTTTGACGTGAGCACCTAGGAAAGGAACAAGCTTTGGCGTCTTGCTGCACTTCAAGCCTCAAGCCATTCCTGGCCATCAGCTGGCGGGCGTAGGGCGAGAGTTGGTCTTCTCCAACAGCCATTCGACAGGGTGGAGCCCAATCAAGCTTGTCGTGGAGCTCCAAGGGAAAGGAGTAGTCCACCACACAGAGGTAGCAAGCCTCCTCGTTGCTGGTCATGTAGTCGTTGGTTTTCAAGGCCTTTCGCAGGCGCCTGACTCGCTCCACTTGCGAGGCGGCAAGCTTCAGCTCCACACCAGAGTCGATGGGCAAGGGCTCGCACATCACCGTGGGATACATTGAGGACACGTCCAGCGCCGTGATGTAGCTCAGTGGCTTCTCCGGCTCAAAGTGATCTCCAAGCTCGGGTGAGTTTGCTCTTCGATGCCCATTGAAGCTGGTGGACAGCCCGCCCATCATTGATTCGCGGATGCACTGGTAGATGGATGGCTCCACCACTCGGCTCACACTGCGACGAGAAAGGCAACCACGGAGCATGGCGTCATAGGCTGTTGAGGGAAGCGAGATGTATTGGACAGGGTCCAGCCCAAACCGCTGGTGGAACACGCTCCGAAACGTCTCCATGATATCTGCCAAGCTGAGATCCATCATCAAGTAGCAGTTGTGGACCCGGCGGAAGGTTGCGAAGCCCAGCACCTCACAAGTCTCAGCGAGCAGCTTGTGCTTCTCGCTCAGCTCCTCGGGGCTTGCCCCATTCAGAGGCAACTTGTAGTCCTCCAGGCTCCAAACAGCAGGGCGTTCCCAAACCTCGGGGCCGCTCATCTTGTCAAAAGGCATGGGAAGCTTACGCAGCAAGAGACGCCAGGTCCACTGATGAAATTCCTCCTCACCAATCTCCTCGAAGGGGCGGTTGGGGGCAAAATACAGGTGAAGCCTGCGTCTACGCTCAGGAGTCAGGGCGTTCGGCTGGAGCTCGGGGCGCAGCTGGGCCATGTTCTGGAAGGCGCGGGAAGGGTCACTCGGCGAAGTCTTCTGCAGGTCATCCATGAGTGAAGCCAGGCTCGCCTTGTAGAAGTTCATCGAGTCCGTGAAGCAGAGACAGCCCAAGCGGAAAGAGAGGATCTTCTCACCGGACTTGAAGAGCACAGAAAACCTCAACTTGTGCCAGGGTTTGCTAGCTATAGCGTCCTCCACATCTGAGCGGGGAATCTGGTCTTCATCCTCCTCGGCCTCGTCCTGATCTTCGGACTGGTAGAGCTCGTCATCCCCTTCATCCGCCGCGGTTGAAGGCAAGTGGCCCTGAGTAGGGGTGATCCTCCCCGAACTTGGCCTTGCACCTTGCGCAGTGGGTAGCCTCGTCAAAACTCTGCTGCTCCTCCTCGCTCAACTTGGCCGGCACGTTGGTACACCTCTTCCAGAGCAGGTAGCGCTCTCCCTCGCGACGTAGCCCCATCAGCAAGCGTGCTGTTGCTGCAAAGCGGCGCTCGCCAACTTCACGGGTGGTAAGGAAGACTCTCTGCTCAGGTATGTAACCATTTCGCCCAACAGCCAGGTACGTATGAGAGAGGACGCCTGCACGCAGTGAGTGCGCTTGGCCAGCAGCTCTGCGGGCGCGGGCTCGGACGCAACCTCGAGGTCCATGTACATGACCAGGGGGGCGCACTCCGCAGTCGAGCTGGCCTGGTAGCGCACCGAAACCTCAGCCTCCTTCGGCATCCTGATCACCGGCTCGCGCTTTGAGGGGTCGAAGCTGCAGGGTCCTTGGTGATGCGCCTCCAGGTTCTGCTTGGTCGAAAAGTTGGCACGGCACCGATGGCATGTGTGCAGGGACGCGTGAGAAGCGCGCTGCGACCCATCTAGATGGGCTCCTCGGCTGCTCATGAAGGCTTGGAAGTTCCATATCAGGACATAATGACCCTGATGCCTCAGCAGCTGGATCTCGAGCTCGGCTGGCCAATCGCGGTGAACAGGTTCTCTGATCAGCTGCCTCTCAAAGAAGGTCCGTCCGCCCCACTGCACAGCCCTCCACTCCCACACAAAGATCCGGAGACGATGGTTGTTGGCCAACTCAAAATTTTCAATCTCCTTGCCAGCCCACACCCTTACTTGGAGGTGGTAAGGAGCTGAAGTCGAAGCCAAAGTTGCAAGGTACGAGCTCAGGTGACTGTGACTTGCCCTTCCGCCTCCCACGAACCGGGCTATAGCCTTCCACAAACAGCATGGGGTCGGTGAGCCTGGTCAAGTTGCTGCGTTCGTGTCGACCCAGCTTTCCCACTCCAAGGAGAGCCGCCCGCACGCACCAAGCAAAACATGAGTTGTCCACTGTTCTGGGGTTCCAGAAACACTTTTTGGCGGCAACTTGCAATACGCGCCCGCTGCCTCGTCACCCACGGCTGGAGCTGGAGGAAGATTGGCCATGACGTTGCCAGGAGAGACGAGGACATACATCTTCTTGATGCCCTCGCGACTGCCCCTCAACCGAGCTGCTTCCAAGTGTTGCTCCAGCTTGTCGCGAGCCACCTCCGGAATGCCCGTCATCCGTCGGTCCAAATCTGCTTCCGGCTCCACGATCCAAGCCGTCGGACTCAAGAAGTACAGCTCATTAGTCGGGGGCTGGGGACCTTCTCCGAAGGGATCTTGGCCGGGCACAAGAACTTCCAGTTGGAACTTGACCTTGATGGTGAAGTAAAGCTGGAGGCGCAGCATGTCCTCCAACTCGCCCCTTGCTGCGCGAAGGTCCTCGATCTGCACCGTGCCATTGGCCCGATCAAGGACTAACTCACGCAGCCAGTGGGACTCATCCCGCCTCAGACGCGCCGCGCGAACTGTCAGCGGACCAGGAGCTAGCGCAGGGCCTGCCATGATCGAGCAGTTTATCTAGATGACTCTTTTCTTTAGTGGTCTGGTCAGTTGGGAAGGATCGCCCACATGGTGGAACGCTGGCACGCTGCCCGAGCTACCATGCTTATGTCCACAGAATGCTCCTGTTGCTCAGCGGAGTGTCTTCTCAAATGATCTTGCAGGCTGCGAGGTTGCAGGCAAACAAAGCTCACACGCATGCTCCAACGCAGCTGATGGGGGGATGCAACACGGAAATGCAGGCCTGAGGCAGCAGGACTCGATGAAGAAAACGGCGCTCCCAGGCCGAGACGTCGATGAAGGCAACAGGGGCCTGACGACAGCACAGGTCAGCATAACTAGGCGCTAAAGAGGCTGCAAGCAATCCTCAGAGCTTGTTCCGTCTTTTTCAGAGCGCATGTCATTCTGTCAATTTTCGGTCACGCAAGGCGAGCTCAAAGGGGCCACCAGCGTCGGTTCAAAATTGCGGCCGCGGCTTGCGCGTGGCGCTCCGACGCAAACTTGTACTTCTCCTCTCTCGTATGCCAAATGACTGGGTGGCAGCCCTCCTGCCTCATCCACTGCGCGACCTTCTTCGGCCCCACGGCCGTTCCGGCACTCAGCGCAGCCACGCCCTGGCCGTCGCCGCCTTTGCGGTTGGCCAACAGGGCTTTGAGAATGTTGGCGCCGGCGGGGGCGATGCTGTCCACAGTCTGGAACTTACACTGCTCCCGAAAGCGCAGCACTTCCATGTGGGCCGTGGCCTCCTTCTTCCACCTCACCTCCTCCAGGAAGTCGGGCCCTGTGTAATGCTCGCAGGCTTTCACCAAGTCCAATGCATTGTATCCGCCTCAGCTAAGCGAGCACAAAAATCCCTCGAGAACAACGAAGCATCTACTGCTGCCTTGCGGGCCACCACCTGCTCCTTGCCTTTTGCAGGCTCGTGCGGCCGCATCATACGATGCACCGCCTGCAGCCGCCCTTCGGGTGACTCACGCTTGGCCCGCTCCAAGTCGTTCTTGGCGATGACGGCGATAGCAACGGTTGCGACGGTCCCGACGACACCCCCACCAAGCTGCTTCCACCTAGGCTTCCAATTGGCGCCCACGCTGCGGCACCGTTGTCAACTGAGTGCGGGGCTGCTCGGAGCTGGCCTGAGGCATCAAGCACGAGCGCAGTCCAGAAGCAGCGCTCTCAGACAGCGCGCCTTCTCCTTGGCGGGCCGCTCGGCCAAGTCATCCTGGGCCGGCGGCATCAAGCATGCCCGAGCTGCTGCGCCCGGCCCCACAACGTGTGCCTTTGTCTTCTTGGACTCGTCCGGGGCCATCCCTTGCGGCTGCGGCTGGGCCTGAAGGGCAGCATCAAGGTCATAACACGGGCACTGTCCTGCACATACCCATCCCA